GCACCACTTCCAATTTGTGAATGATTAATTGGAGATAAGAGTCAAAAGGGGAACTTTCAGTCTGGACTGGCTTTGAACCATGTATTCAGAACTCAGCCTCCACAGACATGAGCTACCAGTGTCTGGCTTATGAAGAACATCTCTAACAGTTGTTGAATACTTGCTAATCATAAGTTAACTTTGTTTCAGTGATGTCAGATCAACTCAAGTATGTATTTGATTTCCTAACCTAGTTGTAACCACAGTGGTATTGGATAGAAGTGTTGAGAAACAATGGCAAATGAAGTTTGTGTACAGTATCTTTCTCTAGAATAACCAGAAGAGGGCCAATCAAATTGACCCTTCACCAACACTCTCCTGGACACACATTTCATTGAATTGGGCCTCTAGTGTTTTAAGTTGACAGGGTCAAGTACACCACATCCTCCCTGCAGATCCAGGCATCAGGGGAGAGGGGTCCTTCTACCCACTGCTGGAGCAAGCCTGGTATTTGTGGGTCTTTCCTCCAAACACAGAAGAAATTTAAGTCACTTTCTTCACCAGAGAGATGCCCTTGCCCTCTGCTTTGTTCTTCTCACATTGCTGCACCCACCTGCTGATTTGCATAGTGCTTCCCAAGGAGGACTTTCCAGCCCTAGTTTGACATAAAGGCTCATCTTGTCCTTGACTTCACTGGTCAAATCTCCTGGATTGCCAGCTAAAATGAGGCTCTGTTCTTGGGTTCTGGGACTTCTAATGCTCTGGATCACTGGTAAGGGCAAAGGGAGATGAGGATGGAAAAGGGGGTTGAGGGTGAGCCTTCAGGGCCACCGCTTCTTGTTTGTATTCTGTTCATGGGTTAGATGCACAGAACTTGTCCTCTAGAATGGGGCAGGTGAAGTTAATTATATGAGAGTAATGAACATTCTAGATGGAACCAGTTCCTGAGCTTTGTTGACAACTATGAGGATTATGTAGTGGGTAGTATACATAAGATCTAGAAACTCATTTTTGCTTTTTAATATTTATATGTTTTCAAATATTAAATGGTTTTAGGATAGAAGGAAAACCCATGAAAAGGATTGGGAATTAATATATAACCACAGAAAAAATTATATACCACATATAACGTTGTACTTTTCATTTATTTTAATTTCAGGGTCCAGAGGCGATATTTTAATGACTCAGACTCCACTCTCCCTGGCTGTCACCCTGGGAGAGACGGTCTCCCTCTCCTGCAGGTCTAGTGAGAGCCTCACAGATAACAATGGAAATAGTGTTCTATTCTGGTACTTGCAGAAACCTGGCCAGTCTCCAAAACTGCTGATCTATGGGGCTTCCTATCGAGCACCTGGGGTCCCAGACAGATTCAGTGGCAGTGGGTCAGACACAGATTTCACACTGCAAATCAGCAGGGTGGAAGCTGAAGATATTGGGGTTTATTACTGCATGCAAGCTATAGATACTCCTCCCACAGTGATACAGTCCTTAACAAAAACATCTCTGTAGGGCTTGGCCCAGCTGTCCTATTTCAAAGCTTGTCTGGGGAACAGCATAGCACATTCTCTGAACTGAAGCAGTAGTCTGAGTTTGGAGGAATTGACAGAAGATGTCATACCAGAGACTTTGTCCAAGTGGGATCTTGGATTACTTGAAGCTTAGATGGACTTCCAGAACCAGAATTTATAATGTTACTACAGAAGTCAATTTATCACTTATTACCAAATGTGAAAGACAAAGCCAAAAACATCTACCACCAGCATGCCATTTCTGTAGTTTGGAGAGAATTACAGAGTCAAATCCCATGCAACATCACTCAAGAAGCAGTAGTACCTAGGAATTGAAGAATGAGTCACAAGCTAGGCTTAAAATGAGATGGATTTTTAAAAATAGGAATGTTACTGAATATCACCAAATAAATAGAATATGTTTGTTAAATATAAAGCAAATTAATTATATGACTCAGATGTTACAACCTTGCTGTTTAATCAACACATGTTTTTTTTTAGGGTGGGGAGTAGGGTTTGGGGCCTGAACTCTGGGCCTGGGTACTGTCCCTCAGCTCTTCAGCTCAAGGCTAGCGCTCTACCACTTGAGCCACACAGCACCACTTCCGGCTTTTTTCTTTTTGCTTATGTGGTGCTCAGGAATCGAACCCAGGGCCTCCGGCATGCAAGGCAAGTGCTCCACCAATGAGCCACCTTCCCACCCTCAACTCATGATTCTGAAAGTTCCATTATTTTTTAAAATTGTGAAAATACTATACATAGGGGTTACAATTACATGAGCAAGATAATGAGAACTTTTCTTATCAAGCATTTTTACCACAACCTTTGCTTCCTCTTACCATCCCTTCCCTCCCATCTTCCCCCCAGACCATAGTTACAAAGCTCATTTTTTGACATAACATCTTCTACATCTCATTGTTGCAATGGGTCCCCCTATATCCCTATTTAAAAAATTTGTTATTTCTCTTCCAATCTGCAATTTATACCGACATCAAATACAGTGAAAACAGGGGTCTCCTTGCCACAGACCCATTTTTTTTTTAAACAAAGTTACAAATTGAAGTATGACTTTTCATAAAGCTATGTTCCATGTCCGTTTCCTACAATCCTCCTCTAATAGAGGCCATTTGTCACCTGCCTCTTAGAGGTAAGAACAATATGTCCTTCCCTTCCAAAAACCTACCATTAGATGGCAAACAAGCCTCACAATGAGCAAAGGCTTCCTCTGAGACTTGAGTGTGTATTGGATTTTCTCAGAAAGTGCACAGACCACTCAAACATCCAAAGCAGACCCCTGCTATTTCCCTCAGCACAAGCATCATCTTAGGAAAGGACCATACTTACCAGTTTCTCTATTACATTTAAGTTCTCCTAATCCCTCTGTCACTGATAAATTGAAAATATCTCTACTTCCCCTGGTGGTAAAACATGAAATAGCCTCATAGCCACAGCTGTGCTGGGAGAAGTTCTATACTTACTGAGTCCCAAACAGACAGAAAACATTTATAAAATTATCCACTGACTATATCATGAGCTTTACTAGGGAAGCATTTGAATATTTCAAAGAACCACAAACCACACTGAGAGTTGGTTTTAGTGCCAGGGGCAGACAATACTATTGAACAAATGCTATTTCTGGCAATGTGCCCTCTCTGCTCCTGCCAACACCACTCCATGAAGCAAGGCTATGTCAGGTGAGACAGGGCTTATCCATGTGTGTCCTGATTGACCTGAAACTCTCCATATTCCTTCCTGTGTCTCCCTGAGTGATTAGGATTACACATAGGCAGTGTCTGTGGTAGAAGCAGTCCTTTCATCTCAAATAGCTTATTTGTGTATTTCACAGGATGTCACTATCTATCAATCTTACACCTTACATCTTAAATAAGAATCCTACTTTTAAACAGAGCTTTGAAAGCATTTTAGGAAAATGAATAAACAGAAAACACTCTGCCCTTGTTTACATGGCAGCTAGCCTGTGAGACATCAGTGACACAGTGACCTGAGATCCCTGTGTGCAGATCAGCTTCTTACTCTATGCTCACAACAGATCTTTTTTATTAAATAAGTTTTTTTATTGTGAAAATACTGTACAGAGGGTTTACAATCACATGAGCAATGTAATGAGTACATTTCTTATCAAGCATTGTTGCCTCCTCCTACCATCTCTGCCCTCCCATCTTGACAACTACATTTCCCTCTCCCCTCCCCCATTCCACACCTAAATTGGGGCAATGTCATTCTTTCTGGTGGAGGCATAGAATTCTATTATGTATATATACCACATTTTCTTGATCCATTCATCTACTGAGGGGCATCTGGATTAGTTCAATATTTTGGCTATGGTAAATAATGATGCAATAATCATAGTTGTGCTGGTAGCTTTAGTATGGTCTACACGAGAGATCTTTATGCTTATGATTCCTATCTGAGGCTCAGGACCAAACAGACTTTTTACACAAATTTTGAAGTGGTTGATCTCTATCCCCTTATCCACTCTTCCTTTCTCCTGAAACATAGCCATTCCTAAAATGTCTTAGTCTCAAACAAGGTGTGAGGGGCTATGTGTGCTCCAGGAGTAGATGTTTATCAAAGGACAGGTCCACCTTCAAAGTTCTTCTCATTAAACGCAGGTAAATAGAAAAGCATGAGTTTTACAATTCCATCATAGCAGGTTTGGCTTCAGAAGTAAGAGATTTCAGGCCACAGAAACATCATCACCAGGGTAGAATGGTGAATCTCTCAAATCCAGATCCACATGAAGTGCATTTAGTGAAGGTGCTGAAGAGAACTCTGACTTTGGCAGTGACATTCCCTGTGTGTGAGCTTCTGACTTTGAGGAGCAGTGTTATTTTGTGTGCCTGCAGCAGCTGCTTGGACTCACAATGATGGGAGGTTGATTCACTGTCATGTAAATGTCCTGCTAGTGGCTCCCCAGATGTGACCGCCTGCACTAGGGTGGACAGTGTCCCCACATGCTGGTCCTGATGTGGGAGCCTTCCTCACTGTGCTCTGCCTTCACTGTCTGTGGCAGTTTTTCCTTGCTTCCCATGCTAAGGATGTCTTCTCCATTCCCTGTGGCTTCATTGCCTTGCTCACCCTTTACTGTGTTTCCTTTCCTCAAATCTGACCCTGCTGGGACCACAAGTTCTAGCCTAGTTACTAAAAAATTCTGTTTAGAAACTGGAAGAGATGATAGTGTAAGAACATGAAGGTTTATGAAACAGAAGAGACTGAAGTAGATGTGAGTTCTTGGTTTAGGGGACAACTTATTTTTGAGGGGGTCTTTTGGGGCTATTGATAGGAGACAGGAATGTTACCTGAGAGATTTGGAGACTGCTAGCTCACAAATTCAGGAAGATCACAGAGCTACATATGTAGCCATGTCTTTTAAATCTTTCCAACCCTGCTGGTTTTCATGTGCCCTGAGCACAGCCCACTGCCCTAAGAACTCCTTGATAAGCTGTTCATACCCGATGCAGGAGAAGGTTCCACTCAGCAAACAGCTTGAACATGAAGGCCTCTGTTCAGCTCCTGGGGCTCCTGCTGCTCTGGCTCCCAGGTAAGGAAGGACAATGCTGGCATTTCTCATATGGTGTTAACAGAGCAGCTTGAGGCTTCATGGAAGTACTTAGATAATATAGTTTATTTGTCAAGTGCCCTTTATGATGTCCAGTTGACCCAGTTGCCATCCCTGCCTGCTTCTCTAGGAGAGAGAGTGGCCATCACTTGCAAAGCCAGATAGGTCATTGTAAATGTAAATAATTTTTTGCATTTTTACCAGCAGAGAGCATAGAAAGCTCCAAATCTCCTGATCTATTTTGCACCTACTTGGCAATCTGGGGTCCCAGGGGAAATGGAAGTGGATCTGGCACAGAGTTCACTCTCAGCATCAGCAGCCTGCAGCCTGAAGATTTTGCCACTTACTACTGTCAGCAGGGTAATTATTTACCTACCCCTATGACACCAGTCATAACAAAAACCTCTCAGGGAAGCTGAAGTGAGAGGCTAGGCTGCCTTTCAGCAAGTTAAAAAGTAATCTTTGTAAGGTTTAGGAAGTTATATTTAGAAGAAGAAGAATATCACAGGTAAAGAGATTATTTTTACTCCTCAATTAGCCTATTAACAGCACTTCTATTTAAAACATATTTCTCTCTCTCACACACACCAACACCCACACATGTGTGCACACACACACAAACGGGACACACGGTGTCAGTCCTTTTCTATAACAAAGTAGCTGACCTAAATTCTGAATAAGAAGAGTTTGATTAACTCACAGTTTTCGACGGAGAAAGTCCCTTATGTTGAATCTTCATTTGTCTGTACTCTGGTGAGGCTTGTCTTGCATGTGGTTCAATATGTTGTGTTAATAAAGAGAGAACCAGTTGTAATTTGAGCTGGCCAAGAATAAGCCTGTCTTCATTTGATAACAGGTGACTATCATGAGAACTGCCTCACTGCATGAGCGTATCTTTAACTCTCTGGTGAGCAGTGGTATATCCTCCAATCCCATAATATAATCACTTCCCACAAGTCACCCCTTCTACTGGCCAGGTTCATCCACTGGGGCATCAGTACAAACATCCTGCATGTGCTCTTCCTTCCTTCAGGTGAAGTAGAGACTGAAATCTCTGAGACAAATAAATTGAGACTAGTTAAAAAACTATAGACATTTGGAGATTTTATGTCAATTTAAGATAATCAAATTTATGTGTGTAGATATATATATACACACACATATATCATTACAAGTAGTTACATAAATTGGTCTCACCTCAGTATGTCAATTTATAAATACACATTATTTTAATCCTTTCACCATTCTATTACTCTCCAGAAGAAACTTTAAGAAATCCTTTGATTAATTTGCTATACAAATATATTGTGGAAGAATGACAAGATATTTAGTGAATTTAAAAAACTGTTACATTGAATTCATACTTTCAAGTGCAATCATTTCTCCCATTAGGTTAAAAGATCATTAGGGTACTTACAACCTGCAAGAGAAAATTTTGTTATCCTTGTCAATTCTATATCCTCTATCTTAATATGAAAATCCTGGCAAATAGAGATGCAAGCATCCCTAAGAGATAACCTGTTAACTATGGTATGCCTCTTCATCTAGCTCAACTCTGTGCTTTTATTGGTCAACTGTTTTGAGAATCAGTGCTGCTGATGCTTGACACTGTGTCTTTCTCTAGACTAGATGAGGGAGGAATGGAGGACCCAGGCACAATGTCTACTCCTTTCCTAGAGTCTCTCCTGGACATAAAGCTGCATATCATTGGGCCTCTGATGCTGTTTTAGGGTGGTGAGGTGATGTGCATCCTGTTTTTCCCTCAATTCCAGATATTATCAGTGGAGTCCTTCTTTCCATGCTAAAGGCATCATGGATTTTATTGGTTGTCACCAAATATAGAACTGATCTGCTGCTACTTTGCTCAGAAGAGCAAGCCTTACCTCCCCTTGACTCTTCTCACACTATTGCCCCAACCTGGATATTTGCATATTGCTCCCTAAGCAGGACCTTCCTTTCTAAGTCTGAGATAAAGGCTCAGATCAGAACTTGCCTTGACCTGTCAAAACTCCTCATTTCAGTCCCAAAAATGAAGTCCTTGTCTCAGCTCCTGTGGCTGTTAATGCTCTGCATCCCTGGTAACAGCAAAGGAGGATGAGAAATGAGAGTGGGGTGGCAGGGTGAGATCTGAGATTCCAGTTGTGCCCTATCCATGTGTTAGATGTGCAGGTCTTGTCGTTCATGATGGGGTAAGTGAGATTTAGGTCTGCAGAAGGAGTGAAAACCTGTGTTTGCTGAGAAAAATGTTTTATGCCTAGAGACCTATTTATGCTTAAAATTATCTCTATTTTTTCACTTTAATGAGCATGGAAGATAGATGCCTTTTCCTTCTTAATTAAATCATTTAAGAGCATTTCTACTCAAATACCCCATTTCTCTCTCTCCCCCTCACACATAATCTGTATTAGTTCATTTGTAAAACAAGTTTCTTTTCATAAGCTCTGAATAAAGAGTTTTGTTTAACTCACAATTTTAGATGCAAAATGTTTTTATAAGTGAAACCATGTAATATTAATAATAGGTAATACATCAAATTAAAAATAAAAAGCATGTCTCTGTACATTTGTGTATAACCTTGCACTTCTATCTTATTCTAATTTCAGGATCAAGTGGAGATGTTGTGATGACCCTGACTCCACTCTCCCTGCCTGTCACCCTAGGAGAGCCGGCCTCCATCTCTTGCAGGTCTACTCAGAACTTTCTATACAGCAATGGAAACACATATTTGAAATGGTTCCTGCAGAAGCCAGGCCAGTCTCCACAACTCCTGATCTATGAGGTTTCCAACTGAGAATCTGGGATCTCAGAAAGATTCAGTGGCAGTGGGTCAGGCACAGATTGCACATTGAAATGTAGCAGTGTGGAAACTGAGGATGCTGAGGTGTATTACTGCTTTCAAGCTACACGTAATCCTCCCACAGTGATACATCCCTGAACTAGAACCTCTCCTCTGGCTGGGTGAGCAGCCCTCATGTGTTGCTGGTCTGGGAACCAGCAGAGAAGATTGTCTGAATGAGCTGAGGAGGAGGATATTGTGATCAATATGACTGGGTGGATATGAAGAGCACGTGATAATTGGATGACTTGGAAATTAAAAAGAGCAGGAGAAAATCATGAAAGGATAAAGATCAGGAGACTTTAGGTAAACAATGAGGTATCTATTGAAAAAAATATGTGTCTCTTAAGTAGTACTATAGACAATCAATGATATAAGCATCAAGTATCTTCTATGATTTTATTCCCTTCATAAGGAAACTTATAAAACTTCCATCATTCACATGGTTTTGTTCCATACATACAGTCTATGTTATGTTTTCTGTTCAGAAGCTGGAAGCCCAGTTGTACTTTGTCTAGCATCTTCTCTGTTTGTCCCCAAACCCTGCATAAATATCAAGCCCTTCACCGAGTTCTCTCACTGGTTCCTCATTGAATCAAGCTTGGGCTGATACAGTACTGGACTCTGCACACTGGTCTCTGGCCTTGTGTGTTCTGGGGATCTGGCTCTACTTGAGAGAGTAGAGTATGATGAAGTTGTGTAATAGTGTTCAGAGGTCACAGAAGTCTGAGACTGAGCCCTTGTATCTGTCTTGTATCTGTGTCTAGATTCTATTACAGTTTTATGGGTCTGAAGCGTTGTATATCTTTTAGTGTCTCTAAGACATAAAATCTCCATCACTTGATGGACAGAAACAATTGTGGAAGAGTCTGAATTTTTCTCACATGCTATGTCAACCTGGATGAAATACATCTTCCAGCTGGGTTCAGAGCTGTGGGATAGACAATTGATTTTCAAGTACCAGCATGGTTGTTCTAGTAATAAGGCTTGTGATCATGATCCCGAACTGGGCTGTCAGCCCATCAATGTAACTGTAAGAGGATCAGACACATGCATCCATGGGACCAGGCAGAGGCAGGCAAACACAGGAGAAAGAATATTGTAAGGTTTATTAGAGAAGCCGTATATCCCCCAAATGGTAACACATGGCCTCCATCACCATCCAGATAGCAAGAGGGTGTGAAGGATAGGAAGTGAGGTAAATGGGAGTTCAGGTGGGTCTGGGCAGAGAGAGGGAGGAGCCAAAGTATGGAGGGAACTCCAGGATGGGAGGGGGGCCCAGTTCTGGGTGGAGCTAAGGAATAAAGCTGAGCACTACATTAACAGTAACTACACAGAAGTATATTAAAACTCAATTTTTGGTCCTTTAGGGACCATAGGTACATTCCCAATTTTGATGAGGTAGGTGCTGAGTGAATTTGGTTTCCTTTTCAATTGATATGCATTTCTTTCTTTTGTAAAAAAAAAAAAAAAGCTCTGCAGTATCTTCTGTGAGAAAAAGAAGTGAGATTGCAATATGGTGTCAGAATGTAAATGTGGATTGGGGGAGAAACAGCCCCTGTGTCCACAAAGAAGACAAATCCTCATGTGACCAACATGGGAATATAGTCAACACAAGCATTGCTGCAAGCCACGAGGCCAGGCCTCTGATTCCTGTATGCAGGGTGTGAGCCTTCTGTGGCTAGAATGACAGGAGTAGTTGTCTTCTTTGTGGGTCATAGCCTGAACGTTGAGCCACAGGCATGAGGGACCCTCCAGAGGCTCTATCAGAGGTGGCATTACTGAGACTGCTAGGAGTTTGTTGCTTGAGGATTCCCAATAGTTTGTAATTCAGTATTCCAGCATGTAACATTTTCTGCTTCTTAGACTTTATATTTGAAGCCAAAATAATAACTAGTCCACCAGATAGCATCAATAAAGTTTTTGTTGTTGCTAATTATCATATTTTGACACTAGATTTGTTAGAGGAGGCCAATATGAACAACCTTCCAGGCCTTCACACTGAAATCAAACAAGAACAGGGGAGACACTAATTCCTCCACCTGCACAGTTACATGGTACAAATGGAGGAAAAAGGACAATTTTCCTTTTGTGAATCAGTTTTTTGTTCTTCAGCGAAATTCATGTTCTTTACTTATTCATGTTGTTCAGTGTTGTGTTAAAAACTAGCAGAGAGCTGGTTTCTCTGGGTGTAGTTTTATCCTCTGTGTTTACTTCACACTGTTGGATTTGTATTTATTCACCCTTTGCACCCTTTGATGGGTTAACAATAGGGTGGTGGTATGGGAAGTTTTAAGAGCAAGGGGTGGGGCTCAGTTGGAGGAAATACATCACTTGTGGGCATGTACTTGGGGCTAATCTTGCCCTTACCACTTCCTATGGTTTGTTTTGTTTTGTTTTTGTTTTTTTCCTTTGGATTATAATGTACCTTGAGTAGCCTCTGCTAGATGGTCCCACAACCTGATCTTGGGCCTCACCTCAGGCCAAGGAAGTCAATAATTGTGATTTGAAATCTCTGAAACTATGAGCCCAAATTAGCACTTCCTTCTCTTACTTTGTTCTTGTTATGTACTTGGTTTTACACATATTCTGGGGAAAAGAGTCCACCATTCATGTAAAGACAGACTCATGTAAAAAGATGACATTTTTGGGGAAGTGGATAGCTGACCAGCAAGGGACTCAGCACAGACTCTGGAGCTGAAATTGACACCCCGAATGGCCCACAAGCTAGGGATTTTAAAGACAATACTCATGTGGTCAAGCCTGTCAACATGCAGGTGGCCAACAGGATTGTAGCGCACACACAAATATTGCATATTTATGTCAGTGGCCAATGGGGTTACAGTCTGTCTCATCATTAGGTCTTCGTCCGTCCCACGAAAGACGGACAGGGTCCGAGGAAAGGTAAGTGCGGTGCTCCTCTGATCCCGAGCCTCCCTCAGCCCAGGAGACAATCAGACACAGTGGAGAGCCAAATCAAGTAGGAAGAAAACGTGTTTATTAACAGAGAGCAGCCCTTTTTAAAGCCAAAAAGGGCAGGTGGCATGGCAGGGAGGGAAGAGGAAAGTACACTGTCAAGGTCACACGTTATCATGCACCTAAGCTTCCATGGGCTGATTATGCACTGAACATAAGGGAAATTGGGCTCTGCCCATTCTACTCTTTCTCAGTGCCATCTTTGCTGCCCATGTGCTCTGCATCTCATAGTATCTGTTTGAACTAACCTGTCATTCTGGTTTGAATTGGGATGCAAATTGGGTGGTCTCCACACAAAGCAGGTGGATATTCTCATTCATGGGGACAGAGATTAGGCTGCTCCTTTCTGGCAGAGCAAAGGTGGCTGGGATGTTTTACTGTTGATAACCAAACAGGGCTGCAGATCCTGTCTAAGCTATTGATAATCAAACAGGGCGACACATCAAACAACCTGATCACAACAATCCTAAGGTGCTTTCCAAACAGTTTCCACATTTCCTGGGGTCTCAACAAACAGCGTATTTACTGACCCTGGGGGCTTTTGAGAAATCAGTATTTTGATTCTCAAGGGTGGGCAGGAACTCCTGGTAGATTAAAAGTGGAGTTAGTTTTGGCTCACCCCAACAACACACACAAAATTTATGAGAACCCCCATACCTACTGCATAGCTATCTGTAATTTAATCAGGTAAAAAGGATCCATACTAGGTTTGAGAAATTAAGCTTTAGGGGAAATCTATTTTTGCTAAGGAGATCTTCACTTGGCAAAATTATTTAGTCACATATCAATATTCATCAATTCTGTGATCTCAGGCCTCAAAATAATAATTATTTTTAGAAATCTGAGGATATGCCAAGATTAAATAGAATACAAAATATTGCCGAAAATCCACACAAGTGAGAGAAGTAAAGAAGTGCATTCAAGCTGAGGTTATTCTGGCTAATTGTTATCAAGAAGCTATCTCAAAAGAAATCTAGGCATTTGGATAATCTCCTATAATCATGGTTACTAAGGCTGTACATGTTACTAAGGTGGAACATGGCCTTGTCTGAATCTCCAAAACAAAACTAAAATGAAAAAGTTTAGGATTGCTGAGTCATAGGGGAGCTCTATGTGGAGTATTTTGAGGAACCTCCACGCTGCTTTCCAAAGTGGTTGAACAAGTTTACATTCCCACCAACAATGCAGTACAGTTCCCTTCTCTCCACATCCCCTCCAGCATCTGTTGTTATTAGAGTTCTTCATTATAGCCATTCTAACTGGGATGAAGTTGTATCTCAATGTTGTTTTGATTTTCATTTCTTTTATGGCTATAGAGGTTGAGCATTTCTTCATGTGTCTATTGGCCATCCTTCTTTCTTCTTCAGAGAAGTTTCCCTTTAAGTCTTTAGCCAACTTGTTTATTGGGCAGTTGTTTCTTTGAGGATTTGTTGATGGGGGATTTAATTTGTTGAGTTCAAGGTATATTTTAGATATGAGACCCTTGTCCGTTGTATGGTCAGTGAAGATCTCCCAATCCGTGGGCTTTCTATTGATCTTGCTAGCTATGTCCTTTGCCATGCAGAAGCTCTGCAATTTCATGCAATCCCATTTGTCCAACCTTTCTTTGATTTGTTGTGTTTCTGGGTCTCTATTAAGAAAATTTTGGCCTGTGCCAAGGAGACCTAGGATTTCTGCTATTCCATCCTGTAATGTTTTCAGAGTGTCTGCTTTGACTTCGAGGTCTTTGATCCATTTGGAGTTGATTCTGGTGCAGGATGATATATAAGGATCTAGCTTTAGTTTTCTACAAGTAGTTAACCAATTTTGCCAACACGATTTATTGAAGAGGCTCTCTTTCTTCCATTCTATTATTTTAGCTCCCTTATCGAAGATTAGATGGCTATAGGTCTGTAGGTTCATTTCTGGGTTTTCAATTCTATTCCATTGGTCCTGAGGTCTGTTCTTGTGCTAGTACCAAGCTGTTTTGATTACTATGGCTTTATATTAGAGTTTGAAATTTGGTATTGATACTCCTCCAGCAGTGTTCTTTATGTTGAGGATCGTTTTTGCTATTCGGTA